TCAGAACTTTATTTCCTATATTGAATGTCGATAATTGGATGTATTTATAAGTCTCGCCGGAAGAAGGCAGCTTGTGATTTCAAGATGAGAAAACAGTCTTCCAAACACTGAAAAACAATATATTCCCCATTTTCACACACACAAAAAGAGCTTGTTTCTTCAATGTTTTGAAGGGGCTGCCAGAATGATTTGCCTTTCTGAAGCCATCATTCCATTTCTCATCTTGAATTGCCTCGTAGACTCTGGCAAAGCACCCAGCGGGGACCACTTCATCTGACACAGTGACGGGGGCTTCCTAGGGAAGGCCCCTCGGCTGCTGCCCACCTCTTTTCTGCAGGAAGACAGATGCCCAGGTGAGTTGGGCCAGGGAAAAGACGGCAGGAGGACAAGGATGTGATGTGGGGCTCCTCTGAGGCTGGAGGTAACTGCTGGGGTATGGCCCTCGAGGACACTGCAAGCTACCCTGGGCTTAGGAGTGGGAGAGCTGTAGCTGGCCCAGCGGCTGCTACCTCAACAGGCAAGGACTAAGGCTTGCCAGGACCTTGAGAGAGGGACAAGCCACCTAGGTATGTACTATGGTTTGAATGTGAAATGTCCCCCAGAGGACTATGTGTTTGAACACTTGGTCCCACGCGGGTGGCACTGTTTTGGGCTTGTGGAACCTTTGGGCTGTGGCCTAGCTAGCAGAAGTGGGCCACTGGGTGGGGAGAGTCTTGAAGGTGATACCTGATTCTGCTTCTGGCTTCCTGATCCACAAAGATGTGAGCAGCTGCTGCCTCATTCTCCTGCCACTATGATTGGCGCTTCCCCAGCCATGATGTCTTCTCCACCATGATGATCAATAGCCCTTTGTCTGAGTTTTGTTTCTGTTGCTGTGATAAGTCTGACAAAAAGAAACTTATGAGTAACAATTCTAAGTTACAGCCCTTCATAGGGGAGAAGTCAAGGCAGGAACTTCACACAGCTGGTCACTTCACATTCACAGTCAAGAGCAGAGATAAATGTATGCAGGGCTGGGGCGATAGCTCAGCAGTTAAGAACACTGACTATTCTTGCAGAAGACCCAGGTTTGAATCCCAGCACCCACATGGCAGGTAACAACTGTCCATAACTCCAGTTCCAGGGGATCCAACAGTCTCTTCTGTCCTCCGTGGCCATTGCATGACACAAGTGCACTTACCTACATGCAGGCAATACACATATACACATGAAATAAAAATAACAAATAAAATATTAAAAAAATAAAGGTATGCACACTCTCTTGCCTGCTTGTGTTTGGTTTGTTTTCCTCTCTCTTATACAGGTCAGAGCCCCTGGCCTAGGGAATGGTGCCACCCACAGTGGACTGGGTCTTCCCATATCAATTAACTTAATTAAGACAATCCCTCACAGACATGCCCACAGCCAACCCAATTTAGACAATCCTTCATTGGGACCCTCTTCCCAAGTGATTCTAGGTTGTGTCAAATGAACAATTAAATTCCTGAAACCATGAACCCAAAGAAACCTTTCCTCCTCTAAGTGGCTTCTGTCAGGGATTTGGGCATAATGATGGGAAAAGTAATACATACTCCTTCCTGTTCTACCAGGGAGAAGCGAGGTTGGAGTAGATCCTCCTGCCTCCTGTCTCTCAGGCACACCCCCTACATCATCTCAGTTTACCTCTTCAGTCTGTTTAGTGCTGAGTCTCCTTATCTAGCTTATCTAAAACAATTACAAAAACTCGAATGCAGTCTGGTGTGGGGGTTATTCTAGGTAAGTGGGGGAGACTCTTTTTGTTTGTTTCCATGCTGGACTAGAGCCCAGGGTCTTGAGCAAGTTTAGTATGGACTCTACCCTTAAGTTTTACCCCAGCCCTAGAAGTTATTCCCCTCCTCATTTCCCACCTGAGAAATGGGCTTGGACAGCGTAGCTTTCCTGCTCTCAATCCCTTTGTCATCTCCAGTAACAACCTGAAGCCTGTTCTTTGGTTTTCCCAGATGGTGAGTTCCTTAGGAACAATACCAAGTGTCTTTTTTCCTTCTTGGCTCCATGGTAGGATATGGACCTTTAGTTCTTAATGACATATTCAGTCACAGCGTGGCACCATGGGTTACAGGTTGGCAGCAGGGGGCAGGACCAGAGTCCAGGCCACCCCAGTATCACCTATAGAACTTCCCAAAGACCATGGTACCAGCTATATTTCTTGTTGCTGTGAAGAAATACCTGACCAAAACAAGGAAACTGGGTGTAGTGGTACACACCTTTGATCCTAGCACTGGGAAGGTAGAGGCAGGTAGATCTCTGTGTGTTCGAGGCCAGTCTGGTCTACATATACATTCCAGGCCAGCCAGGGCTACATAGTGAGACCTTGTCTCAAAAACAAATACCCCCCCCCAAAAAAAAAACTAAGGAAAGAAGGATCTATTTTGTTCATGGTTTAAGAAGAGATGTAAGTCATCATGACGTGAAAAGCACAGAAATAGGAGCTTGAGGCGGCTGGTCACATGGCATCCACAGTCAGGAAGCCTAGAGAAATGAGTGCTGGGGCTCAGCTCATTGTCTCCTTTTTATTCAGTCCTGGACCTCAGTCCATGCGATGGGGTTGCCCACAATTCCTCCTCAGTTAACCCGTTCTGGAAACACCCTTGTAGATACACTCCTAGATATGTTTCCACGGTTATTCAAAATCCAGTTGAGTCAATATGCAACAGAAGAGGGACGGAGCCTTGTGTTGTGGCTCTTCCAGGGGACATGAGTCAGACACCCAGTGGCCAGCAGTGCCTATGGAGCTGTGAGGGAGTGGAGGCTTAGGTAGAGATAGGCAGGATAGGGAAAGTTGGCTCAACACAGTGTCACCGGGAGAAAGGAGAACCTTGTCCAGGATGGAGCCCCTAGGGTTGGGGTGTGGTACTTCTGGAAGTACCTGACTGGTGAAATAGTCACTTCACATCCACTTGTAGGGCATCACAGGGCAGACTGTCCCCAAGGACCTGTGACCTCAGAGGTAATGTGGCACTGTATGAGGCATGAGAGCACTGCCTGGCGTGCTTCCTCAGCTGATTTACACACTCCCATGCCGACTCTCTAAAATCAATCTCTCTCCAATTGCCTCCTGGCTCCCAGCAGCATCCAGGGACTGCCCTGCATGAGTAACTATACAATATTCTCCCACACCCTTAGTGGCGGCTTCTCCTAGAGTCACTGCCAGAGCCTCCGAAGGGCAGGAGTGGGGGAGGAGTGTGGTTCTACTGGAGCCTTGGATGGGGGTGGGGGGCAGAGGATGCCAGGCATATGAAACTGCTGTCAGGGAAGGCCCTGTCTAGAGGCCCAGTGTCCAGATGGGCCTGGGTGGGTAGGCAGTATGGGCAGTGCCTCTCTGTTACAACCAGACATGAGAGTTTCATTCATTGCTCTCCTCTCATTTTGTAAATATTTAGGATAATTACTTCTTTTACACATTAATAAGCATTAAGCTGGCAGTTGGCTTAATTTTGACATATTTTATGTCAAAAGAAGTGGGGCTGTGATTAGCTGGGGGCAGGTTTTCCTTCTACACACGGACACAAATAGCTCTCTCCTCATCTTTTGCTATTTTTAAAAACTGTCCCTTATTAGAGAGTTGAGATTCTTTGGCTGGGGATGGAGCTAGTACATAATGTATGTATGTATGTGTTTTCAAGTTCTCAAGAATGTATGTACCTGTGTGAGCTCAGGTATATTACCTCAGTTTCCTCATCTATAAAATGGCATCAAGAATATGGGTCGGGGGACCAGCATGGTGGTACACACTTTTGATCCCAGCACTCAGGAGGCAGAGCAGGCAGATCTCTGTGAGATTGAGGCCAGGCTGATCTATATAGCGAGTTCCAGGCCAGCTGGGGCTACAGAGACAGTCTCAGTCTCTCTCTCTCTCTCTCTCTCTCTCTCTCTCTCTCTCTCTTTCAAAAGATTATGGAGAGATGGCTCTGTGGTTAAGTGTGTACTGCTCTTGAAAAGGACCCGAGTTCAGTTCCCAGCACCCATATCAGGTGGCTCACAACTGCCTGTAACTCCAACTCCAGGGGATGCGATGCCTTCTTCTGGCTCGGAGGGCACCTGCACTGACTTGCACACACAGAGAAAAATTAAATACAAAATAAAATATTTTTTAAAAAATTTAAATTTTATTTATTTAAACAAAATTTATGTCTATGACTGTATTGCCTGCATTTATATAAGTACACCCACGTTGTGCAGTGCCCAGGATGTCAGTAGAAGGAGTTGGATTCCCCTGGAACTGGACTTACAGAAGGTTGTTAGCTGTCATGTGGGTGCTGAGAACTGAATCCAGATCCTCTGCAAGAGCAGTCCCTATAAAATCTTTTTTTAAAGAATAGTCCCAAACTCTACACAGGAGTTTCGTGAGACATCTATCTGCAGAACTGCCATTTGTAAAGCATTTCAGCCAGTGCCTGCAAGTGCTCTGGACCTGCTGGCACCTGCCTTCTGATGTCCCTTCCCAACCTTGCTCTAGCACCTCAGCTTCTCCATTCTGCTCCCAAGGGAGCTTGGAGAAGATCCTACCAGACCCAACTCAAAACCCCATGTTCAAGGCGCTACAGAGTCTGGCTGATGCTTGTCTCTCAGGCTGAGCCCCTCTCCACTCCCTCTCCTGGATACTGAGGTTTCTGTTCCTCCAGTTACCCCAGCCCTCCCCACTAGCCCGGGACGCTTGGCTTGCTTCCCGTCCTTCCCAGAGGGTTCTTTATTCCTGAGTTCTTCCAGCAGGTGGGCTGCCACATGAGGTCAGGGGCTGACCCAGAATCAAGCTGTCCTCTGTCTCAGGACACTGCCTCCCAGTTGGGAAAGCATGAAGGATGCTGCTCAGGTTCTGTCGGGCCCTACCGCAGCCCTCTCCAGGGTTCCGCCTCTCCACGGTTCGCCGAGTCCAGAGCTGGAAGCCACGGGACGAGGGCGGACAGCTCCGCCCTTAAACCCCGCCCACCCCAGCCCCGCCCTCAAACCCCGCCCACCTCTAGCGCCGCCCCAACACGCCTCGCAGTCCCCGGCTGGCCGGGCTGGTTCAGCTTACGCCGCACTTCACGTGACTCTCGCGCTGAGCGAACATGGCGTCCGCCTCGCGGTGAGTGCTGCTCCGGTGCTTCGCTCCTGCTTGCGGGCGCGGAGAGGGGGCCTCCCCTCGGCGTTCCGGGCTGGTCAGTGGGTGACAGCCCCAGGCTCTGGTCCGGGTTGTTGTGCGGCCCCTTGGCTCCCAACTTCCCGGGCGGGGGAGGGCTCCATGTCCCCGCACGCTGGTGCCCACTGCGCCTCTCCACGCTGGCGGCTGGCCCTTGCGGGGCTGCCCTGCAACTCAGGCTCCAGCCGGGTGGTGCAAGCACTTGGGAAGCAGAGGCAGGCAGATCTCTGTAAGATAGAAGCCAGCCTGGTCTACATATCGAGTTCCTGCTTGTGCGGCCGAGGTGGGGGCCCTGGTAGACGAAGTTGTTCACTGCCACGCCCCTCAGGTGGGGGGATGCCATCGTAGTCAGAGCTTCAGGTCTCCAGGAACCCCCTGAAAGGGACAGTGATTAGGGTGGGAATCCTCTTTTCTCAGGACAGCAGTAACCCAGTACAATGTCGAGCCAAACTTCAACTCCTCAGAGAAGCCTTCCCTAACTATCTGATCAACTCTACGTGTCCGTTGTCTCTTCCCCATTTAGAATGCAAGAGTCATTCTGGGCCTCGTTAGCCCAGTGCCATGCACGGAATAGGTGTGCCATAATTCTGTAGATTCAAAGGAAGGCGAGTGGTCCTGTCGGACAGATCCGGACAGATGGCTCACTCAGGTAATCAGGGACAGATAGTTGGGCAAAGGTTAAGAGATAAAGGTTGAGCCAGTGTCCTAGGGGACAGGGAAGAGTAGAGTGCATCCCTAAGGGCATCAGGTGGCATCTCTGGACTTTGCCCTGGGGGGCTGGAAAGATTGTAATCTTTTGTTTTCTGACAGGGTCTCACTGTATAGCACAGGCTAACCCCAAACTCTTGGTCCTGCTTTGCCCTCCAAGTTCTCACATTACAGGCATATGGCATCACACTCAGCTTGGGATCTGCTTTTTAAAAAGCATACTCTCAAGCAGGGCACATTGGTGCAAGGACTTGGGAAGCAGAGGTAGGCCAATCTCTGTAAGATAGAGGCCAGCCTGGTCTACATATCAACTTCTAGGCCAGCTGGGGCTACAGGGAAACCCTGTGGACCTGATTACTCAGGATGTTAGGCGGGTCTGAGTAGGAGAGTGCAACTCTCCACCTACCTGGGTGGGAACTGAGCTCTATATGGGGAAACTGGTGGATATCTCCCTCTGTATAAAATGAGGGAAATGGAAACAAAATGGGTTCTCAGCTGGCCCCCAAGGTTGGGAGAGTTTTGAGTATAGGAGTCACTTAGTGGGTTCCTGCTGTGTTCTGGGAACAACACCTGGGCATACTTTCTGGCACTCACAGGCCACTAAGGCAGATGAACACATGAAATATTGTCATCTGTCTTTCTGCCTCTGATCTTGGTGTGTGCCAAGGAGAGGCATGGGCTCTGAGGCCAGGGGAGAGTATGCAGTGACCTTTGTGCTGGACATTAAGCAGTGAGACATACTTAGGTGGAGAGCTGTGCAGGCAAAGTCCTGGTTGGGTGTCCAGGAGGCAGTGATCAGAACTTTGAACCCAGCCCAGGACCTTCTGTTAAGGAACACACTGAGCAGTACATCTGAGTAGTAGATGTCTGTTTATGGGTCTCATCTCTCCATCTGGGCTGGCCAGGTGGTCACTGGTAGCTCCAGCAGGTGCATTGGGTTGTGGCTGCAGGGTAGCCTAAGGCCTGTTTCTCTCCACAAGGTACAGGGGCCAAGCTGGTGAGAGACATAGGTCAGATCCTAAAAGAAAGGCTCTTGTAACAGAGCTGATTCTCTGGGGGTCATCATGCAGGATGGGTGAAGGACTTACTGGAAAATCTGACAGAGGTGGGGAACTTTCAGAGCTGGCCAAAGGATATTCTAGGTTGGTTATGGATCTGCCTTAAGAGATATTAGGCCTGAGCTGAGCCCAATGACAAAGTTGGAAGATATTCCTTAAAAATCTTGGCCCTCAACTGTTGCTTTCACACGTTAGATCAGAGTGTCAGTTATCTGATTTTTTTTTTTTTTTTTTTTTTTCAGGTCCAGAGGTGAAACCCAGGCCTTGCTTGTGTTGGGCAAGGGTTCTTCCACTGAGCTACATCCCCAGCTCTTGTTTTTTTTTTTTTTTTCTTTTTTTGAGACAGGGACTTGCTGTACAAAGGCCTTGAACTCATGATCCTTGTGTGTAAGCCTTCTGAGTACTGGGATTATAGGTTTATACCTATACCTACAGTGTCAGTTACAGTGAGCCAACAAGTCGTAGCCTCAGGCTCCCAGGGAGTTAGAGTTGGTTTCCTATGGAGTGAGTCCTTGTAGAACCTAGGGAGAAGAGGCCCATGTGACTCTCAGGTGACCGTGGTCCAGCATCCTGTTCTGCTTTCCTAGGAGACAGCAATGGGTGAGAAGAGGAGTTGTGTGTAGGAAAGTGGACAGGGTTTCAAAGGGTAGGATAAGGATCTGTCGCATTCTTTTTTTTTTTTTCAAAGAATATTTTATTATTTTTATTTTATGTGTATTACCTACATGTATGTAAGTGCACCCATGTCATGCAGTGCCCACAGAGGCTAGAAGAAGGCATCAGATCCCCTGGAACTGGAGTTACATTGTTAGCTGCCATGTGGGTGCTGGGAACCACACCTGGGTCCTCTGCAAAAGCAACCAATGGTCTTAACTGCTGAACCATCTTTCCAGCCCCATGTCTCTCATTCTTAAGTCAAGTGGTATCTTGGGAGCTGCTGCACAGGCAGCAAGGAGCAACAGGCAAACTGCCCTAGGTGTGCACCTAATGAGCAATGGGCCTTGCTAGAGTCAGCATTCTCCATAGACAGTGTCAGCAGGGGTCAGGGTCTTGCTCAAAAGCCTGTCACACCTTTATATGAACCTTGTACTTCTGAGCAAAGGCCTCATGCTGGCCTGGGAAATGGGTGAGTCTGTGGGAGCCAGCCCAGGTATCTCTTTGCCCTGCCTGACTCTTCCCTAGGTTTGGTCCTCACTTGGCTTACCCCTGTCTTGGTCCCTATGTGTAGTTGTCCTCTATTCCTCCACTGGAGAGAGGGATGTAGTGGGGGGCGGGGGGTTGTTGCTGGCTAGCCCTCTGAGGCGTCAATGAGGAGGACCTTCCCAGCTTTGCTGTCAGGTAGCCAGTGAGTGACTGAGCATCTCAATGATGGTCCTGTGCTGGTAACTGAGCATGGAGAAGCAAGCTAGCTCTTGACTGGTCTGACTTCCTCAGAGCTTAGCAGTGTGGCTGTATCCAGAAGTGACTTCATATGGTAGGAATCTTGACCTAGTCTGTGCTTTGACCCTTGTGGGTATTAGTGAAACCTAGTCTGTTTTCTACTGCTATACCAAAATACTGGAGACTGGTACTTTATAAAGAAAAGAGTTTTATTTTTGGCTCATGGCTCTAGAGGCTGTGTCAGCTGACTGCATCTGGTGAGCGCCTCCCCTGAAGTCATAAAGTGGTGGGTGACATTGCACACAGCAGGAGCAAAAGGGGCAAAGTAGGCTGTGCATAAAGGAGGCGGGTCCCATGGCAAGAGAGCCAGCCGACTTCACTTTGTGACAACCCTCTGTTATACTAACTGTAGGCCCAGGAGACCTAACCCATGCCCTTGAGATTATGCCCTCAGCAAACTGATGACCTCCCAGAGAGTTTCACCTTTTAAAGAGCCACTCCTCAATACTGTTACATTGAAGACCAAGCTTCTAGCATGTATTATTTTAAATTATGTGTATACATGTGTACCTATGTGGGGGTATGTGCACATGAGTGCAGGAGACCATAGAGGCCAGAGGTGGATCCTTCTGGAGCTGGAGTTACAGGTAATTGTGAGCTGCCCCATATGGGTGCTGGGAATTGAACTCAAGCCCTCAGGTTCTTTGCAAGAGCACAACGTGCCCTCCACCACTGAGCTCTCTCTTCAGGGTCCTGTTTTTTTTTGTTGGTTTTGGTTCTGTTCTGTTCTGTTCTGTTCTGTTCTGTTCTGTTCTGTTCTGTTCTGGCCCCATATGGGTGCTGGGAATTGTACTCAAGCCCTCAGGTTCTTTGCAAGAGCACAACGTGCCCTCCACCACTGAGCTCTCTCTTCAGGGTCCTGTTTTTTTTGTTGGTTTTGGTTCGGTTCTGTTCTGTTCTGTTCTGTTCTGTTCTGTTCTGTTGTTCTGTTTGAGGCAGGGTCTTCCCTGTAGCTCCACCTGGCCTGGAACTTGCTATATACGCTAGGCTGACCTGGATCTCACAAAGATCCTCCTGCCTCTGCCTCCTGAGTGCTGGGATTAAAGATGGGTGCTACTATACCTGGCTTGTTTTGTGTTTTAACAAAGGGTCTCACTATATAGCTAAGGCTGGCTTCCAACTTTTGAGCCTCTCAAGTGCTTGGATTATAGGCATGTGCCACCATACCCAGCTTGGCATGTTTTAAAATGCATTAAATATGCAGAAGATTATAAAGAAAACCAATTATGTGGAAATGCAGCTATCAGAATGTTTAATGAATCTGTGCTACAGTCATATGCGTTTTTATTAACACATTAAATAAGAAGAGCCTGGAACAGGTCTAATAGCCACCTTGATTTTGAAGTAGTGGTAAACGGGTATTTTAAGTCACAGCAGCAGCAGTACTGTGGAGGGAAAGTACCTGGTACCTGAGGTTTCTGTGGGTGACAGATTCCCAGGCATTGCCAACACTAAGTGATTTATTGCCTATATTAGTTGAGACCAATTGTAAATTTGAATTAGAAGTTAAAGAAAACAAAGGAATAATTTTTTTGTTAAGTGTTAATATTCTGTGTATGGCTCTCCATGCATCCATGGCCTTAAGTCAGAATCTTGCAGGTGGCCATTGAGGGCAAAGGACAGAGTGGCACAGGGAGCTCAAGACAGGGATAGGTCACATGAGCCATGGTCTTGGACCCTCCCCGGGAGCTGGCTCTATACTTAGTCTGATTTTGGCCCTGTGCCGCCTCCTGAGCCTGCTTGGGAGGGCCTGTTCTGAGGGGGTCTTTGAGTCCTGGAGCTGCTGATCCACCAGCCCCTGTTCCTCCTAAACATATCTGTGTTCCTGCCCACTTGCAGTAAACAATGCTTTGTCCCAGTACTCAGGAATGATGTACCTGTGCCTTTTAAAATCCAAGGGTTGGGAGCCGGGTGTGGTGGCGCATACCTTTAGGCCCAGTGTTTGGGAAACAGAGGCAGGCAGATCTCTGTGAGTTCGAGGCTAGCCTGGTCTACATAGAGAGTTCCAGACCAGCTGGGGAAGACCAAAAAAAATCCAAGGGTTGGGGCTGGAGAGATGGCTCAGTGGCAAAGAGCACTGACTGCTCTTGTACAGGACTGGGGTTTGGTTCCCAGCACCCATGTGGCAGTTCACAACCATCCATAACTCTAGTTTCAGGGGTTCAACACCCTCTTCTGACCTCCTTGGGCATTGCACGCATGGGTACACTTACATACATGAAAGGAAAGCACTCCTAACCATTAAAAAAAAAAATAATCCAAGGGTTGGTTAGCAACAGAAAAAGGTCCCATCAGTTGGCTAACCAGGCCTGGTGACACTGGCCTGAAATTATAGCTACTCAGGAGTCTGAGGCAGGAAGATTGTAAGTTTAAGAGCTACTTGGATGACAGAACAAGTTTAAGGTCAGTTTGTCTCAAAATAAAATGTAAAAAATAGGGCCGGGGATGTAGCTCAGTGGTGCGGTGCTTGCCCAGAATGTGCCCTGGCTTTAATCCTGAACATTATAAGAGAAACCAGTTGGAGATGTTTTATCGGTGGTATGTTTGATGACTTTTCAGAGAGAAGTCATTCTTAGTTCTGAGCCTGATGGTCCTCCTGGGGGGTTGGTATCTCTATAATCCTTGATCCTGCGGGGATCTTGGCATACTTAGTGACAGCAACACACGGCTTTGCCCACTTAGGCCAAGCTGCCCTTCTCAAGCCAGAGCCCAGGACTAGGTGAGACCCTTGGAGGAGTAGGTGTATTCATCCCTCAAGGACTTGTTCCTGGAGCCCCCTCAGGTACCAAAACCTGCAGATACTCAAGTCCAGCACATAAAATGGGCATTAGACCCCAGTCTGGGGGTCCTAAGGGACTTTAGACCTCATACAGTTCTGGACTAGAGGCTGAGAGCCTTCCAGATGGAAGCATGGTTACATGCCAGGTGCAGGCAGGCTTGCCATCCTTAAGGATGGAGGTAGGTCAGAAGGAGGGGAGTTGGTGGAGATGAGATGGCTCCAGCTGAGCATTTTCAGCCAGCGGTGCTGTGGGGTGACTTTGGCATTTTCAGCCAGTGGTGCTGTGGGGGGTGACGTTGGCTCAGCTCATCTGTAGCAGGGCCCCCCTTGTCACTGACTTTGCTCATGGGAAGCGTTTAGAGATGAGTTATTGGGGCTGGAGAGATGGCTCAGTGGTTAAGAGTGCTTAAACTGCTCTTCCAGAGGATGAGTTCCATTCCCACCACCTATATCAGGTGGCTCACAACTACCTGTAACTCCTACTCCAGGGGATTGAACGCCTCTGGCCTCCACAGGCGTCTGCGCTCATGTGCACATACCCATGCACAGATGTACACATATACATAAAAATCAAACAAATCTTTTAAAAAAGATGAGTTTTCCCCTGTGCTGACCTCCTCCATGGGTTTTGCTGAGTGGGTGGGAAGGGTGTGGAGTCCCCTGATGCGGGTGCTGGAGGCTGCACTTTCGGTTCCTGCCAGCTAGGCCAGCTGGGAGCCAGTCGTGTTTACAAGCCCTTTCATCCTTATGGCCAAGCATGGCAGACATCAGCCCTGGCTTTGAGGGAGCCCTGACTACTTGGGCCCACCCAGCCTCCTGCTCACCCTCCCTGGAGGAAGGAAAGGCAGGTGCCAGGGGTAGGAGGAGTGAATACCTAGACCGTGTGTATGTGTAGGAGGTTCCCACCCCTCCACCCTTCTGACCAGGTGGGGCCCCCAAGAATCTGTTTCCTGCCCCTACCCCCACTAGAGCTGATGTGGCACCCTCCAGTCTGCACAGCTGAGTCAGTCAATTGCAACAGTGATACACTCAGCAGATATTTATTAAGTACTTGCTGTATGTCAAGCAGGGTGCTAGGCACAGGACACAGTGACCCAAGCAGATCTAGGCCTGTCTCATGGAAGGCCTGCTTCAGTTAGGAACCTGGTCTGAAGCCAGGAGTTCATTCAAGTTCGATGCAGGGACAATTACAGAACTTCAGGGAGAGGAAAGCAAGCTGGGAAGAAGCGGGAAGCTGCTAGAGATAGAGCTGTGGCCCTGTTTTGAGGAACTGCCATTTAGTTTAATGATCTGCCATGGAAGGGATCAAGGGAGTTAGCTCTGTGTTCACCACCTTAGTCCTTATCTCTCATGCCTCCCATTGGCTCATCCTACTTGAAAGCCAGAGGTAGGGCACAGGCTGATGGAGCTCTGTGAGGTCAGGCACGACCTGTTGGACCAAGGCACTGTGGGTGGATGTGAGGTCTAGTATCGGTGTCTTCTTGACACATCTGAGAAGCAGGAACCTCAGCTGAGGAATTGTTTCCATCAGATTGGCCTGTGAGAGGGTCTGGCATTTTCTTGATTGCTAATTGATGTAGGAGGGTCCAGTCCACTGTGGGTGGTTCCATCCCTGTGCAGGTGGACTTGGGCTGTGTGAGAAAGGTGGCTGAATGTGAGCCTGGCAGCAGTCCTCTGTGATCTCTGCTTCAGGCGCTTGCCTTGAGTCCCTGCCTTGGCTTTCCTCAGTGATTGTAGCCTGTGAGGCGAAATAAACCCTTTCTTCACCCAAGTTGCTCTCTGTCGTGGTTTTTATCACAACAACAAAAAAGCAAGCTAGAACCCTGTGGTTGGATCTGGAGGGCAAGTGGGGAAACTGGCCTAGTGATGTGGGGGGGGTGGGGGGCCGGGCAGGAGAAGAGAGTTCTAAGACGGAAAGTGGGGAAGAGCATGCTTAGCAGGTGGCGTGTAGGAGGTATGTGTGAGGCCCGTCCATGGAAGGGTCCCAGAGGCCTCTTCATGGTCCCCTGCAGTAGAGAGGAAAGGGCCATCACAGTCCTCACTGAGAACTCACTCTGCTTTTACTAGCTCTGGGTTATGCTTGTTCTCCTTGAACTCTCGCACTGCCCCTGGACTGTGGAACCTTCAGGGACTCCCTCTTACACATCCCACCCCTGCCTGACTCCAGCCCCATCTCTTACTAATGTGGCATCTAGCCAGCTTGCAGGGTCTGCCTTCCTTCCTTGGTTCCTTCATTCAGCAGACATTGATGGTTTTGTCTTTGTCTTCATGTAAGGCGCGTGTTACCTGGAGAGATGGTAGTGAATAAGTGAGTTTGTGCTTTGAACCAGCAGGAGGCTGGTGGGAAGCTCAGACCAAGAAAGCAGGGGGGAGTTCCTTGAAGTTGCCAGGTGGAAGGTGGATATGGGCCACTTGTCAGGGGGGTGCCCTAACTGGGAGGAAGGGCCGGGTTCTGGGTGTGGGTGGTGGAATGAGAGACAAGGACAGCTTGAGCAGGAGGAGGCAAGGCTTAGGTCTTTGCCGTGTGCACTGAGTTTGAGCTAAGAGATATGTCAGAGGGTCAGGGGGCTCTGAATCTGTCGTCGGCCTGTGGCAATAGATGGTACTTAAAGTTGAGGCATTGACCTGGCTCAGCTGTGCCCAGTAGAAGAAAGACAGTGGGTCCAGCCCTGGGGCTCCAGCAGGAAGTTGACCTGGAAGTGATGCCATGCCGGTGGAGGGTGGAGGAGCTGACCCTGGGTGGAGCTCAGCGGTAGTGTCTTTTGGTCGAGAGGCCTGATGAGATTAGATTCAATTCCACTTAGGAGCTTAGGGTCACTGTGGCCTGATAGACTGTGTGTTCTGGGGGAGCAATGTGTAGCTTGATGGGGTTAGCTGAGGGGTGCATGGGCTGTCAGGCCAGGAATGCCAGGGGCTAGATATTTACTGCAAAGTGGAGGGAAAAATGGACTGCTGAGAGGGCTGGGGAAGTGTTTTTCCTTTCTGTTAAGGGTCAGGTTACTATGTTGAGATGTAGGATGCTGAGGGAGCCCCAGGGGAGAGGAAAATGCTGCTGAAGCAACCTTTGACTAGGTGTGGGGGTGGAATCAGTTCTGTACAAGTAGATGAGAAACTGCAGGTGGGTCTCAAGGCAGATGGGAATTTGGAGAGTGAACTGTCACAGTAAACAGGGAAGTCTTTAGACCGTGAAAAGCCTGGACAGGGACATGTAGTATTGCCAGGCCTGGCTCCTCCCAGCCCATGTAAGCTTTCTAGAACACCAGCCTTGCTGTCCTTAAGCTCTGCCCTCTACAGCTTGCTGCTCACAGGAGCATGGGGCTGTGGCTCTCCCTCACCACCCAGCTCATCCTTGTGTATGTATACTGAGGGGTGTGCATTGCTGGGGATGGGGACTGCCAGCCTAGGCCATGAAACTGGCACTGCATGATGGTGGGCCATGGTTGCCTGAGTCAGAGCTCACCTTTCCCACCCACTCTAGAAGTTCAAGAAGGTGGGAACCCTGGAGGATGGCATATGCCCCCTGCAGGGCTTTTCCGCGCAAACCCTGCCCACCTACCAGCTGAGCAGATCCAGTTGTCCGTCATCCCCACAGTGAACCAGGTGCTCAGGAAGAGACGGTTAGCGGATGATGGACTAGCCTCAGTGGGCCTCAGTGCCCCAGCAAGGGGCCATCTCTGAGTCTCTAGTAGGTCAAGCTCTGGCTGACTTGTCTTCCGCGGAGTCCCTGGCAAGGCACAGTCCACAGGTGAGGGACACAGGCTTGACGGTGCTAACCAGACTTTGTTGTATGTGCTCATGTCTCTGCAGCCCTTCCTACTCCCTGGGGAATGAGACCCTGAAGGTGCCCTTGGCACTGTTTGCCCTGAACAGGCAGCGCTTGTGTGAGCGGCTGCGGAAGAATGCAGCTGTGCAGGCCGGCTCAGCTGTGGTGCTGCAGGGTGGGGAGGAGATGCAGCGTTACTGCACCGACACGTCCATTATTTTCCGCCAGGTGAGCCTACAGCCCGCTTCTGCAGCCCTGTCTGCCTCTAGGACCAAGCAAGGGGGTGTTTGGCAAGGTCTCTAAAGGGGCCCCTGGAGGCAGTCTGGGTCCAGGGATCCCACACTTGGGGTCAGCACCTCCAGCCTCACCTGCAGGCAAAACTGTCAAGATACAAAACGATCAAGCAGACTAGGCTTCATGTTTGGAGTGGGCCCTGAAGAACCAGGGTAGTCTTAGACAATCAGGAAGGTGGTATACACAGGGATGGGCAAAACAGAGGGTGGATCAGGGGCTCCTTGAGGTTCTAGAACTCTGGTGTGCAGCCTAGACATTATGTACTTAGCTAAGAATCATTGTCAGCACAGAATCCTCAGGAATAAGAACATTTCCCCCCCAAAAGCCAGAGAGACCAGGAGTTGTGTTTACTCTCCTTAATCTCATATCACATCCAGTTTACAGATGAGGAGACTGAGTTCCAATGGGGAAATTACTTGCCAAGAGGTATAGCTGGGGTTAGAACTCTTCTGGCTGGGTCTAGAGACATAGGCCTGTAATCTTCAGGGAGGTTGAGGTAATTGAATCACAAGTTCAAAGCCAATCTGGGCAACTTAAGGAGACCCTGCCTCAAAAGTAAAAAGAGAACTTAGAATGTTGCTCAGTGTTAGTGCACCTGTCTAGAATCCACCAGTGAGGAGCTGGGGGCTGTGACTCAGCTTAGAGCGCCTGCCTAGAATCCCCCAGGGAGGAGCTGGAGGTATGCCTCAGTGGAACACTGTGGGGCGTGGCTTGGTGGTAGAGTGCCTGCCTCGAAATCACCACTGAGGGACTAGTAGTATGGCTCAGTAGTAGAGCATTTGCCTTTGCCTAGCGTGCAGTAGGTCCTAGGCTCAATCTCTAGTATCATCAAAAATAAGCAAGTAAGTAAATAAATAAATAAACCTGACTCTGTGTCTGTGGTTCTTTTCCTTCTCTGCTGCCAGGCTCAGAGCTGCCGCCAGAACCTGGGGGTGGGGGACAGAGACACGGGACTATGAAGAGCAGTGTGGAGGAAAGGCACAAGGCCTGGCCTCCCTAGCTGGAGCCTGTCCACTCCAGCAGGCCACAGAGGGCCTAGGGTGCTCTGCTGAGAACCCTGGTACAAGCCACAGGCCTGCAGTCCCTGGCTGCCAACAGCATGAAGGTCTAAGGCTTTTTCTGCCTTGTCCTGGTACTTGAGGTTTATACAGTTGTGGTTTAAAACCCAGTTTCCTAAATTCAGCTGTGGGCTCCCTTACTGATGTCATCCCAGGTTCACCTCAGATGAGCTTCTTCTCCTTCATACCTTGTTATGTCAGCTCTGTGCTGAGCTGTGATGTCACAGCTGCCCTGAGTAGGAGAGGAAGGTGAGACGTCCTGACTACTTGGGTAAAGATACCCCACGTGTGCTGGTACTGGTGGCGCACAATGGCAGGATATGCTGAAGAGGCAGAGGCAGGAGGATCTGGAGATACCCCATGTGGGTGTCTGAAGCTAGCCAGAGCTTGGTGCTGCTGGCTCTCACAGACCTGGGAGTGTGTCTGGGAGGTGCAGCCACAGATAGGTGGTCTGAGCACATGCAGGAAACCTGTATCGTCAAAGAAGGAGTGAGTTGGGCCAGTGGGTTAAGGTGCTTGCCACCAAGCCTGACGACTTGAGTTCTATCCCCAGGACCTATACTGTAGAAGACCGGCTCCTGCAAATTGTCCTCTGACCTCCACATGCATGCCTTGGTGCATACGCGCACACACACACACTTAGTTAAAAAAAGTCAAAGGGCCAGTGACTGCTCTTGCCAAGCTATGGCATGGCAGGATGGACAGCGGCAGCTGAAGTGGGAGCCAGATGCAGAGATGAAGGGCTCTGTGGGCTGGGGCTATTTCCCAAAAGGAGGCCTGAGCTGCTGCTATCTGGGAGGGAGGCCCAGGACTCTCTGCTGGTCTCCCTCTTGTACTTCATGCTTCTGCTCTGCTGCTCTGGTCACTGGGTAATGAGGCTCCTTGCCCCCTCTACAGGAGTCCTTCTTTCACTGGGCCTTCGGTGTCATCGAGTCAGGCTGCTATGGTGTGATTGATGTGGACACTGGGAAGTCAACCCTGTTTGTGCCCAGGCTTCCTCCCAGCTACGCTACCTGGATGGGAAAGTAAGGAGTGGTCCTTGACCTGGTGCTGAGCCTGCCAACTGCAGGCTGATTAGGGATGGTGGGGTATGGACAGGAACACAGGAGGGAGGGTCAGTGGTCAAGCCTCTTGCCCATATACTCTGTGTCACAGCCATGAGCCACAGTTGGGAAGGGTTTGGGAAAAGGTGTCAGAGCCAAAGCTATGGATTAGAGGCACAGTTCATGGAAAGCCTGGATTTCCTGCTTGCTGGTAAAAATGCTGGAGGCTTTGGCACCAGTGGGTGGTCACTTCTGCATGACTTTGATGAGTGTGTGCCTATCAGTGAATTAGTTCAGGTGGGGTCAGTGTGAACTGTCGGGGCTTTCTTTCTGAGGTCTGTCAACCATGTTCAGGTGTATTACTGATGCCTGCCCTGGCTACAGGTGGTCTCTCTTCCATTGACCCTTCTGTGAGATAAGGTGGGCTTAGAGCTGTGCATGTGACGAATGTGGGCCTAGCGGCCAGGCCAGGGCCCCTGGGAGAGCTTGTCCTACTCCACCCTCCAAGGCACCTGGTAGTTCCCTGCTGTTCCGGAGCCTCTGTTGCCTGCCCATAGTGCTGAGGCGGAAGCTACACTTAACCAGGGATCCTGGAGATGATCAGAGAGTCTCTTCTTCCCAGCCTGTCATTTCTGCCTGGAGAGTGATCATTCCAGGTTAATGTGTAAATTACAGCCTTTGCTGCCTGGTGCCCCACCATGCTCATTACCAGGTAGGCTGGCGAGTCTGTGGTTGGTTTGAATGACATGGCACCTGGGCTGCGGTAGCAACTCTGAGCTCTGTGGAGGGCCAGGGCCCCCAAAGGGATTGCCTTCCCCAACTTCCTGTGCTTCGTGCATTATCCCTCCTTCTCCAGGCAGACTCCACAGCACCCATGGCTGGTCCCAGCATTTAGCTCTTCTGCTGTCTTGGGACAAGGGGTCCAGATCCACGAATTGGCCACATTTCTGCTTTGAGGCCACTTGGCAGCATCCCAGGCTGGCTGGCCCTGGGCCGTTAGCTTTGCTATGAAGATGTAGCTTTAGCAGAGTTGGCAGCAGAAGAGAAGCAGGCTCCGGTTCTCCTGGGGAAGTAGGGCGGGAGTAGACATGTTTTGTCTAGCTGCCTTTGGGGTGAACGACTGGCTGTAAGGGAGAGGTTCTGCCTGATGCAAGCTTCTGTTTCGTCATGGATTGTCCACCCATGTTGCATTTGCAACCAGCTCCTTTAACCTCCCTGCTGTAAAGAGGAAATAGGCTCAGCATGTTGGGAGAACTGTGCTGGTCCTGTGGCCTGGTCTTGCTGGAAGTGTGATCAGAAGCTGAATGCACTTGTGGTCCATCATGGCCTCCACATGGTGGCCACAGGACTGGTGAGTGGGTCTCATCAATTTGGAGCTCTGATTCCTTCCTTTGAAACAGTGAATTACAGTGGTGTAGCATAGGGTTGATTACTTTTGTGACAGGGACATAAGGTGGATTGCTAGGAGGGCAGTTATAATGTTCCCAAATGCCCAGTTCTCTCCAGTGGGACACCCTGCCTCACAACATGACTGTCCTACTCTGAGGAAGCCCAGACTCCCCCATGTGGAGAGTCCCCAGCTGATGTGGAGAGTCCCCAGCTGATGTGGAGAGCCCTCTGCTGAGGCCACAGGTATCATGGAGTAGAGATTAGCAGCTCTGTCTGACTTCCTGACCTTGAGAGTCCACAGATGAGTGACTTTTCTCTTTTTTTTTTTGTGACAAAATACATGACAGAAGCAACAGGAAAGGAAAAGATCAGGAGGAAAGGTTTTGTCTCAGTGTTTGAAAGGGTATAGCTCACAGTGGCAGGGAAGGCACGCACATGGGTGTGACTCGGGACGTGTTAGCAGAATGTGAGGTGGCTACAATGGCAGCCAATCAGGAAGCAGAGAATGGGACTGAAAAAAATGGTCAGGCAATCACTCTCAAAGGCTTGCCCCTAGTCACCAAGCTCATAAAGTTTCCACAAGCTTCCAGAACAGCACCACCAGTTAGGGACCAAGATTCAAGCCATGAAACTGTGGAGGACATTTTAGATTTAATCCATAACAGGCCCTGAACCTGGTAAATGTTTTTTCTACTCAGTGTCAGGGTCAGTGGTTACTCAACCATACTGTATTAGCCAGATTTTCAGTGCTATGACAAAATACCTGAGAGAAACATAGTACAAGGAGGAAAGGTTTGTTTTAGCTCATGGTTTCAGTCCATGGTCCATTGGCACCATGGATCTGAGGTGAGGCAGAACACCACGGTAGTGGAAGCATGTTGTACAGGCTGCTTGCTTCGTTGCAGCCAGAAAGTAGGGGATGGGGGGTAGGGGAGAGACGAGAGCCAGAGAGCCGAGGGTTCCAAAATACTGTTTTAAGAACATGCCCCTGAGTGCCCTACTTACTCCAACTAGGCCTAAAAAACCATTCAGCCATTAATCCACCAGTGGATTATCTATTGATGAAGTTAATGCCATCATGATCCATTCACCTCTCCTGAACATTGCATCACAGGATGCAAGCCTTCAATACATGAGTCTTTTCGGGGAGACTTCCTATTCGGACCTCAACACCTAATAACTAGAACAACCTCAACAAAGAGTTCAGGTCTAGTCTCCGTAAGATGCTTTCAGAATCCTTCCCGCATCCTGAGGTGTCCACATGAGCAGAACTTTAGCTGTCCTTTCAGGGGCCCCTTGGCCCTGCCTCCTAGCTCTGAGCTTGCTAAGATGCCCCACTGCTTGGAAAGCCAGCTCAGCAGTTGGCAGATGCTTTGATCTGTGCACTGTGGTGGAAGTAGACAGTTTCAGGGAGGGTCTGATCAAGACTCAGTCAGGTCCCACCTGGAGTTTCTGTCTGGAGCCATGGAAAGGCTCTGAGGTTGTCTCCTTTGCTGTCTGTTTTCTCCCCTTCCCCTCCTTACTATGTAGCCTAGGCTGGCTTCAAACTCAGATCTACCTTCCTCAGTCCCCAGTGCTGGGATGATAGATGACCACCACGCTAGGTAAAAGGATTTGTGTGTGTGTGTGTGTGTGTGTGTGTGTGTGTGTGTGTTTGTATGCATGCATGCATGCATGTCTGTTTCTGTGTGTGTGTGTGTGTGTGTGTGTGTGTGTGTGTGTGTGTGCATGCATGCATGTATGTCTGTTTCTGTGTGTGTGTGTGTGTGTGTGTGTGTGTGTGTGTGTGTGTGTGTGTGGTTTGGGGGATCGAATGTGGGGCCTTGCACTTGCTAGGCAAGCACTGTACCACTGAGTTCCTTTTCCAACCATTTACTTCTTATGAAGAACTGACTCTCTAGCAACAAATGGAAGATGCCTGTCTGTGAGTTGAGGAGACATCTGGGGCAAGGAGAATGGGAGCCAGTCCTGTCTCAGGTACTTTACCTCCAGTGGCTAAACTTGTGTGAATTCTCCATGTCTCCCCACACCCACATCTTTGGGAGCTAAATGGCCCTTGACTGGGTTTCAAGCCCAGGACTTGATTGGTCAGGTAACAGCTATTAAAAGTCGGCTTCTTGGGGTTGTACTCTTCAATAATACAGGAATAGTAGCCTGCACCTTGGCCACAGCTGAGTCTCAGAGAGGCTCTTAAAAGCCTTTTCCACCTCTCTGTGTGTGTGAGCACATGGGAGTGTGGTGAAGAGTGAAGACTACTGACTCCCCGTTTGTGTTGACCGGCGTGACTACCCCTTGCCTGATGTTGCCCACGTCAAGCTGCTGTCTGTTAGCCAGAAGGCCCTGAAGGAGAAGGAGAAGACCGGCTGGAACAGCCTGACCAGGGATGAGAAAGTCCAGTTGTACCACATCCAGTTTAACGAGAGCTTCGCTGAAGACAGTCGTGGGCATGGCCGAGTTCTTCATCAGCTTCACCCCATTGTTCTGATCTGGGAGAAGCGCTATGTGTACGGCCCCATTCCACATACCTTTGGTCAAGACTGGATGGCCATGCAGACCAAGTGAATGCTCAACCTGAAGTCCAACCCCATCTGGGGCTTCTCCACCAAGTGGGGCTACGACGAGAACCAGTGGAAGTGAGTGCTGCTCGCCAGCTGCTCCCACACCGATGTCCTGGAAACCACTATGTCCAGCAGTCTATGTGATGCTGATAAATGACAGTTTACATGAAGAAAAAGAAAAAGTGTCCCTTGAGTCTGCCCCTGCTTTGCTGAGCCGGCTCATCGTCTAGTGCAGAATATAGCCTTGGGTGACCTTGAAGGTAGGAGCAGCCCTATGTGCTGGGCGGGCCGGACCCAACAGACTCGGTCCCAAGAGATATTGTGACACCACAGCTGAGCTGAGTCCTTGTCTCCTGCAGCCTTGGTTCCCTCAGTAAGCGGTTCCCTTCCTATGTTCTAGGGTCTCTCTCTCTCTCTCTCTCTCTCTCTCTCTCTCTCTCTCTCTCTCCCTCCCTCTCTCTCTCTCTCCACCCCCCCCATCCTGAGTGTTTGGGAAGGGGAAGTCCTGGTTATAATGGACCAATGACAAAGGAGCTGGTTGTCTGGGCTGGAGCTGGGGAGCGGCCACATCTGTGTGCGACTGCTTCCAGATGCCGTCGTAATCCATAGGGCACAGGGAGCGAGGCTGATGGGATGACCTGGCCTTTGCAGTCAAAACCCACCAGACTGAACATTTGACCTTCAGCTCCTCAGCTTCCTTTGGAGTCCCCTTCTGATGACTTTTTAAAATCCACCTGGCAGATACTGCAATCCACAGTCACTCAGGAAAACTGTCCCCATGCAGGATCTACCGCTTCCTGTGTGCTCTGTTTTCTGTCAGGCTTGCAGATGCCCAGGGAGCTGTGGGTAGCCTAGGACTGGCCTGTGCCTCTCTTTAAAACTCCTTTGGCAGGAAGGTGGGATCCTCTAATGCACTTTTCTTTGAAGTCTTTACTCACAGAAGAGTGCTGAGTTTTTGATGGGAGAACATTTCCCATCATGTACTATCGTAATCAGTCTTAGCTGACAGGACCTCTGGCTTGGGGGTATCTGGGGTCCTCTAAGCACATTGGACATTTCCCTCTGTGATACGCCATGCTGAGCAGCTTCAGGGCCCATGGAAAGGTGACCAGCTTTGGGTAGGGCTTCAAGAACTTCTGCAGCCTGGCCAGGGTCTGCTTCTGTCCCTGACCAAACGGAAAGGAGAGATGAGGGCCTGGCCTGAGTTTGTAGGGAAGTGGTGATTGGCCTCTTAAGTATGTTTTTGGTCTTCAGGAATGACCACAGTGAATTCCTCTAGTGCTGAGGGTACAGCTCTGTACACAGCTCTTCATATGGGAACCCTTGTGAACTCTGTGTGTGTGTGTGTGTGTGTGTGTGTGTGTGTGTGTGTGTGTTATTTCACACAGCTCTTCATATGGGGACCCTTGTGAACTCTGTGTGTGTGTGTGTGTGTGTGTGTGTGTGTGTTGTTTACGGTGTATATTGGGAAGCATATGTGATTTTTGTTGTTGTTGAGGCAAGATCTTGCTATATAGCCCAGGCTGATCTTAAACTCAAGATCCTCCTGAGTATTGTGCCACCAGGCCTGGCTTGTATATGGGCTGTTAGTGGTGTGCGTTATGGGATATAGTGTGTGTCTGTTTTTTTTTGTGGTACTGCACCCCCAACCCTCTGAGGATTAAGGCTTTCTGGGCATCTCTTGGGCCTTACCCTGGCTGTTATCAGGCAGGGTGGGGGCCCTCTTTGAAGGAAACAGTCCTCCTTGAGAAGAGGCTAATCCATTCTTTTTGACTGTTCCTGATCCCCCCGCTCCAGCACCTAGGTATCGGCCAGAGACCCTAGCTGGGCTTGTCTTGATTGCCTTTCCTTACTGTGGCCTCCCTTTGCCTGGATTCTCTGCAGCCCATAATCTCAGAGGCTGCACCGTGGCTGCCCTGTCTCACACATAGGAGCAGTCTACAGGCTCAGTCGCCTGCTCTGGAAAGGGCTGCTTTCCTCTTTGACAACCTAATGACATCTTGACATGGTTGTGGACTTCCACGCCTCACACAGCAAGTGCTGCTTCCTCATGCTGCCAGTGGGATGAAAGGCAGCGGCATTGTTTGGAACTGAAGGCAGGCTCTAACCGCTGGAAACTGATGATGGTGACTGCTGTCATTTGGCCCTATTACTTATTCATTAACTATATGCAGGTGGTCAGCTAGCCACCAGAACCTGCTCTTCGAGATTTCATTTTCTGGAGGGCACCATCGTGTCTGCATCATGTGGCGTTAATTTGTCCCCTTCTCACCCCAGGCCTTGCACAGGGTGTTGGTGCTCACTGCAGTGACCAGGCATCAGCTTGACTCAGGGCTCATGCTTGGGCCAGCTGCTGGCAGGGCAGGCCTGCTCTGAGCCAGTGTCCCTGAGCCTAGGGCCCCCTCCCTCACCCCTAGGGATGAGCATCCCTTGAAATGAGGTGACTGCTGTCTCCTGCCAGCACCACTCCTTGTACTTGAATGAGGGATATCTAGAGAGGTGAGTACCTCTCCTGACCCATCCCCCTCAGCCTGTTTCTTTTCCTCAGGATCTCTCATGTGATGGGGTCTGACTGTGACCCAACATGAACTGTACTTGCTCACCCGTGTTCCAGCTGAGGCTGGCCACGTCATGTTCTGGCCAGCATGTCCCTCAGTGGGTTCAGAACTGCCCAGTGACCTCCCTAGCCAGTGTGACAGAGCTCATGTGGATGTGCCACTCCTCTGCCCATCAACCTCACCAAGTCATGGGTGCTGAGCCTTCCATGGCTGAGTTGAACATGCAGCCTGGTATGCATAGCTCTTCAAGTGACATTTAAATGATTTTTACTATAATTAACCCTCAAACTTGGAAAAGTAAGTACTATTCAAACTTAATTATCTCTGCCCTTTATAAAAAGAATGTAACACGCACAGTGCCAGACAATGCTCCCAGCTCTTCAGGTTTTATCTGTCCATTATTCCCAGTAAGGCCTAGTGCCTGGGAGGTCCGGCTTGCACTCCGGCTAGACTGTAACATTGGCCTCTTTGAAAAGGGCAAGTACGGTGCCCACTTCTTCCTGATGTTGGGACAGCATCAGGCTCTCCAGGTCTGGTCTTGCCCCACCTTGACATCCATGAACAGTGCAATGACTCATGGCCACTGTTAGGGTTTGAATGTGAGTTGTTCCTCGTAAGATCACATCTTGAATGTTTGGTTCCTAGCTGGTGGTGCTGTTTTGAAACGTTTTAGAAACTAATAAAACGTTGTTGGAGGACATAGGGAATGGGGGGGGTCAAGGTAGTGGTTGGGGGGGTCTGACGGCATGTCCCTTGGGGTTTCATCTTGTCTCGGGCCCCTCTGTCTCTGCTGTTTGCTTTCTATCCACTATGAAGGGGGAACAGCCTTTGCTCTGTACTTCCACTACCACAGCGTTCTGCCTCTCCGTGAACCCTGAATCAGTGGAGCTCAGCAATCCCTCCATAACCTTGAGGCAAAGTAATTCCTCCCTTAGGTTGTTTCTCTCAGGAATTTTATCACAGTGACAAAAGTAGCTTGTATGGTCACCAAGTAAGGAGTATGTAGGTCAGCACTAAGCCTTAGGGCCCCCACTGATCACAGCCCCCACGTCACTTCCCCTTTGCCGCTACTTCCTCTGGTTCTGTATTGTTAAGCTCTTACCTCTCCAGGCTTCTGTCTCTCAAATCTTCAGAATCCTAACTAGCAAGAACTCCCCAGGTGAGAAGGGCAGGGGCGTGTTTCCTGGTGGCGTTGACAGACTTGTGGGCACTGGCTTCAAGGACCCTATGACAGTGGAGGTGAAAAGGTCAGGCACCCATGCTAAGGGCTGACCTGCCCCTCTGTAGGGGAGCCACTTGGTGTTAAGAGCATTACTCAGGAGCTAAGGGTCTGCATACTCCCATAAGCCAGCCTGCAGCTGGGACTCCCCAAATCCAGGTGAGGTGACACTTCCTGCCACCGTTCTTGAGGTCTTTGCTAATGTGTCAGACCTTTGCCAGTAACTTGTGAGTCCTGTCTCAGAGTGGAAGCTAATGTGACTGAATCATGCAAACTTAAATAATGACGAGAGCTTGATGCCCAGTGAGCTCTTCAGAGGCCAGAAAAGCATAGGGCACTCGGGGGATCACAGCGGGGCCAGAGTTCTTCAGCCTGAGGTGGGTTTTCCGCCTGACATGGTTCTGCATGTGGCTGTGAGCCCTGCTGCTGGCCCCCTGCCCACCCCTCTCCCCTGGTCCTATGGCAGTCTGTTTTGCCTCTTTGGGTGGAGAGAGAATTGACGGGTCAGAGAGAGCCTTAGGATTCTGGTTCTTGCTGCTTTGTGGTACACAGGACATGGAGTCCTGACATTTTCTTCCCTGTTTCAACTGGGAGTCTCCAGGATGCCTCATCTACACACACTGTGATGGCCCAGGAAGTAGAATCCAAAGGCCACCCACTGTCTATCCTCTGTTGGATGGGGCACCTGCTGTGAAACCACAATGGGACGAGGAGGGGCCAGGTGTGGGATGGTGCAGAATGGCATGTGTGTGCATGATCAGACTTGGTTGCTTAGGTGGTGACATAACACTTCCGCCCCGCCTCCATTCAGTTAAGTGTTCCTTCATATGTGAGCTTGTCACTTGCAACAATATTGGACTCATCTGCTAACCAGGAACCTAGAGGTGGGGAGAGCAGTCTGTGGGACCCAGGAAGGGCATCTTCTGAATGGTGGGCAAGGGCCGTCTCACTGGCTAACTTTTCAAGTTTGATGACTAAGCTTGAATTTTTCTCATCGCATACAGTAGTACTGCTAATTGACTTCTTTCAAGTGTTACTTTATTAACTTTCCTTTAAGGAGACCCCATTCATCATAGCCTGGGAGGCAACTTCTTTTGTACCTGTGAGGGTGAAGCACACTGGTGGGATGTCTGGTGGGCTCTGTGGCATGGCATTTGTCTACAGCTGCTTGCTACAGGAGGCCAGGGTAACGATGGAATGGAGGTGTCAGCTGGAGGCGAGGGTGCCAGGGGAGGCAGGTGTGGTACAGGTCAGCTGGGGATGAGGGTGCCAAGGGAGGCAGATGTGGTACAGGTCAGCTGGGGGCGAGAATGCCAGGGGAGGCAGGTGTGGTGCAGGTCAGCTGGGGGTGAGGGTGCCAGGGGAGACAGGTGTGGTGCAGGTCAGCTGGGGGCGAGGGTGCCAGGGGAGGCAGGTGTGGTGCAGGTCAGCTGGGGGCGAGAATGCCAGGGGAGGCAGGTGTGGTACAGGTCAGCTGGGGGCGAGGGTGCCAGGGGAGGCAGGTGTGGTGCAGGTCAGCTGGGGGCGAGGGTGCCAGGGGAGGCAGGTGTGGTGCAGCGGTTGCTCTGTGACTCAACACCCTTTATCATCAAATCTGCACTGGGCAGACCCGCCTGATGCCAGCTGCCTGCACTGTGGCAGGGAATGGGTCCGGGCCTTCATGGCCTGGGTTTAGTGGGCAGAAGGTGGCGGTTGCCCTGACCTTGGCATTCTTTCCTTTTGAGGATCCATTCCAAGGAGCACTTCAAGGAGAAGTATGCCGTGGATGATGTTCAGTACACAGATGAGGTAAGTAGCAGACAAGACGCCTCTTCCAGCGACCCTGGGCTCCCTGCAGCCCTCTGTCCTCTCCTTCCATTACCACAGTCTGGGGACACTGGTAGCCAGCCCCCTAGGAGCACACCCCTGTTTAGAAAGAGCAGGCAGAAAATATGCACAGTAGACCTCTCTGACCTGACTAAGCTGTTCTCAGCATCGGTAGTATGCCTAACTCAGGTACAGTGTCTTGGTGCCAAGTACCACCAAGGTGCTCCAGGGGAGGATGTCTGTTGAGAG